TTTTTTCTTGAGCCTCTTCTTTTTTCTTTTCCCCACTTTCCCATTCTCGTTTGATTTGTTTGAACTCGGCAACATTTCCAGTGGCCACTACTCTTTTCACCCACAGTTAAAGTGTAAGGGACCATCGGTTCAGCTTCTTCAACTTCTTCAGCTCCTTTTTCTCCACCTCTTTTTCGTTCTCGTTCACGGCTACCTCCTCGTAGACTACTGTCAGCCATGCTTTAGTTCACATCACAATAATCAAATGCAGAAAAATTAATCAAACTTGAATGATTGCCATATGTTTTTTTTTGTTTACTTATAATTTTTAATATTCTTTGTAATATTACATTCACACTATCATCCAAATTCAACCTTGCATTGAAAATTGCATCTTAATTTCATTCATTTTGAATCAAAGCCATTTTGAGATCTTCGAATGCGATTTGGCATTCGAAACACATTCACGCATATATGCATGCATGCACACAAAGCAAATAGCACTTGCAAACGTCAAAATGAATTCAACTTGAATCGAATCAATCAAGTGCAGCTTTGAATAAACGTATGGCATGAAATGTGTTAAAATTGCGTGAATTTGATTTCAAAGATCATTCACATGAACACAAACACAGCGAATTTTAAATTCACAACTCCAAATCGGACTTTGATCACGGAGGACGGTAGTCCAACAAGTGACGCACCATAGACTGTGCATTTCAAGCCAAATATAAAAAATGCCAGTTTTTGCGTCACGAGTATATATACAGTAAATATGCTATTTTCTCAGGACACTATTTGGGCCCCGGAATGTTAAGTACCGTTGGAAAGTTCTTGGCCCAAATAGTCGGAAACATCATATCCCCCATGCCTAAAGTGTGGTCTAGGCAAAAATATAGCGGTTGGAAAATTTCGATAAATTTTCAAATCTATACCCATATCTTACGAAGGGGGTACCCAGGGGGTGGTCTGAGGTGTCCAAGAGAAGCTGCTCCTCGCCACCTTTCCAACGCCGGTCTAAGTGCCCCGATTGGTCCAAAAACGAAAAAGTTATGGGCATTGGCAGTTTGATCTTGATTTTTTATGAAAGTATCTCGTCACGACTTTTATACGGCAAAATGCTTCAAAGCTTTGAAACAAAATTCAAAAGTCGTGACTCGATATTTTTCCTTATTGTAAATAAATTTTTACAATAGTGAATGCGAAAAACACTTTTGAACTTCGTATCCAGAGGTAATACAGAGTCAAAGCGTCACTCAATATGATATCAGTCTTTTTGAGTGGTAAATCCACGTACGGAGCGTCACTCCATTTTAACCTCGTCTAGAGGTTTTTCATCTGATTTTCCATACACTTCAAACTAGCGCTATTTTGAGGTTACGAATCCAATTTGAATTGAATCAATCAAAAATGTTACTTTGAATAAACGTATGGATGTGGTATGGAATGAAATGTGATAAAATTAAGTGAAGTTGAAACCTACCTTTGATCAGAACACTTCACTTTTCAATCCAAATATCAATATATCCACACTTCACAAAGACGAATTTCGATGAATTTTTCACCTAATGAAATGTGATAATAACGCCTGTCACAAAAGTCTTGAGACAAATTCGAAGGCTCGAAATTATATTATATCTCAAAGTAAGATAGATACATATGATTAAATCATTTAGTTGGGTCCCCTAACGTTAAAGAATAACACTTTTTGGGTGCAAAATAAACCATACTTTCTGACCGAGAGCATAAAATGTTGGGAAAAGATTTTAAAGACCTGGACGGCCAAAAAATCATATTTTCTCGATTTTTCCTCCATTATTTTTAGAAAATTTTGATGATTTTTAGCTAAAAAGTTCTCTTAGACCTACCCAAAGATATTTCAATTGGTGAATATTGTTTTCATTGTACTCTGAGTTTTATTTCAGTCATCAAAATTGCAAAAAAATGACAAATTTTGCAAAAATGCATGAAATTGAGCAAATCAGCTCTCAATGTTTTATTCTATAGGTTAGAAAATATGGTTGATATAGACTTCACGATGGCTTCTATCGAATGCTAAGGGAACAAACTAAATTATCTAGGCTTACGATTTTAAATATTTTGAGAAATAACCGAATGCGGACACAAAATTTTTGTCTCAAGACTTTCGTGACAGGTGTTAAGGCTTCACAATGAAAGAATGAGGTTTTCTGTTTGTTTTCTTTTTCTTCTTGATTAATAAAGTATATCTATTGATCGACGGACTTTGAATTTAATTCGGTAATGTTTTTCGTAGTCGACGATTTCTTTCTCCGCAACAAAAATACACTGCGAACTGAACAAGCACGTGGTTTTTTCCTCTTCTTTCAATTTATTTGATTTAATTTCACAATATCACGCGGATAAATTCGCACTACATCGATTTTTTACATGTCTGCGTATCATTTTGTTCACTTCATATTTAATTATAATTTCTTCTCAATTTGTTCTTTTTTGTCTCTCTTTCTGTTTTTATGCATTTTAGGCTTTTGTCCGCAATGAAATGTCGATAATGAGAAACCGAATGAGAAAATGGCGACTGGCGTAAGGCTTCCATAGCATGCATGATGTCATCGCACATCTGTCAATACATTGAATAGTTTAGAAGAATGAAAGAAGCAAATATATAGTGTTTTTTTCTACCTTGAAGCTGGTTTTACTGAAATATTTCTGAAAACAATTGGAGGAAAATGAATAGTACAATTCAGGATAATTTGAGAATATCGGTTATTTATTTAAAACAGACTAATCGTTTGAACGTTAAGAATACAAATGTTTAAACTAGCGTTATTTTGCGTTTTTTTTTTCTTCAGAAAACTAAGTTTTCAAATTGCTGTTTTCTGGTTTTTCCTATTTTTATTCAAAAATTTCCGCCACTGATTCCAAATCAACATTTCATGTAAACATGAACCGAATCTGACCGAAGAGTCTATACAATTATCGATTCATTCATCAATGCCACAGTTTTTCCATTGATTTTTTTCGTATTTTTTTTAATATTCAAAGTTTGAAAAAAAAATTCATCTTTACATTTGGAGGCGATTTTTAAATTCGAAGAAGGCGCTCAAAAAACGCGAAAGGGCGCGCAGCGTGACTACGGCCCTGGAATGCGCGTATGAATGCACCCCATTTGCTGAATTGTATGAGTTTTAGTTGAATGATGCAATCATTTAATATATTGCATCAGACTAGTTTTAATAAAATTTAAATTATAAAACAAATCAAATTTGCGAAATAAAATATTTCATTGTTATCAAAGAAAATTTAAATTTCGTTAAATTCATATTTTCAATGGATTTTTTCAATCGATATTCTCAATCGAAATTCATTAAATTCAGCAAATGGAGTGTGTTTATATGTACATTCACATTTTCCAAGAATGATTATTGTATTGCCATGTGTGCGATGACATGATTCTATGAAAACATTGCATAAAGTCTCATTTTTTTTCATGTTTAACGTTCAAATGATGCAACTTTCGCCATTTAAACGTCGTACAAAAACGAATTCGCTTGAATTCGATTAAATCATTGTATCATCAGAGAACTAAATTGGTTTTGTTGCCTTTGACACTTCACATAGAAGTGAAGTTTGTTGAATTTAAAAGGATTTACGATTTGAATTCATTCATTCAGTTTTCAACTGTTAGCAATCTAACCTTGAATTTTCAATAAAATAAATAATTTAAAGAAAACAAAATTCTTGATCAAAGTGATTAGATCCGTTTATTAACATATACTCAATAAATTTTCTAAAACATACGAGGTTATTTGAAATTAAAATATCGATGGACAAAAAAATAATCATAAATATAAAAATGCCTTACAAAAGTAGTGATATCAGATGAAAAACCTCTAGACGAGGTTAAAATGGAGTGACGCTCCTGTGCGTGGATTTAGCACTCAAAATGACTGATATCATTTTGAGTGACGTTAGGACGCTGTATTATCACTACATACGAGGTTCAAAAGTATTTTTCGCATTCACTTTTGTGAAAATTGACTCACAATAAGGAAAAATGTCTTGCGTCACGACTTTTGATTTTAGATCAAGTTTTCAAGCGTTTTGCCGTCTAAAAGTCGTGACGCAAGATATTTTATAAAATGATATCAGTCATTTTGAGTGTTAAATCCACGCACAGGAGCGTCACTCCATTTTAACCTCGTCTAGAGGTTTTTCATCTGATCCTATATAGGATAGTAAATAATATTATTTACTCCAATAATAGTATTCGAACTGTTTTCAACACAGTTTTATGACATTCAATTTAAAAATATAATTAACATTTCTGCACATTCTGTATCGAACGTCAGATGTCTCTGACGCTCGAGTTTAAAATGTCAAAATTCATTACTTGTGTTTAAGAGTGAGTCAGTCGTAAGAAAGACTCACGTACCGGGCATACCCGCTGCCCCCTGATGAATATACATTACATATAATACAAATTTAGCGGGTGATCTACTGTATAAACAGAGTACACAAAGTACGTAGCGCTACGTGTGTATGGTAAACAAAGAGCGCGAGTTAACAAAGTTATAACACCAAATCTAATGCAAAGCTAAATTGAATTATGTTATTAATACAATGTCGAATCTAAATTGAAATTTATAATTAAAGCAATATCAATTTTAGCAAGTTCAATTTCAACAAGTTCCATTTCAATTTACTTTGCAAGTTCAATATGTTACACATATTTCACAATTCGATTGGGTTGATGGAATTATATTTTCAATTATAATTTAAAGTTCAATATCAAAATGTTATTAGACTATATATTTTATTTTTATTTTTATTGATTTATAATGGTGTTGAAAACAGGAAAAATCCCAATAACATTCTTCACCTATGAGTTCTGATCACATTTTTGTTGACTTTCAATTTTACATTTTCTAATTTCGTTAAGAATTTGCTCGTGCACAAGACACAGCTCAACGCGCTCAAATAATTACGCAGCAACTAAAATCAATTTGTGATTGGCTTGGTTTTTTCGTTCGTCATAAAAAATGGCACGCTCACAGAAAAAGTCGAAAGGAAAGTCGCCAGTCAAGAAGGTTGTTTCCAGCAGCAAATCGGCGAAGAAGGACATAACGAAGAAAAAGTCCAAGATCAACGATTCGAACTTCAAGTACTATATTCACAAGGTCTTGAAGAGTGTTCATCGCGACATCAGCATCGGCAAAAAGGGTATGGCCATCATGAATGACTTCATGATCGATGTGTTCCAACGAATTGCTACTGAGGCATCCAATTTGGTCAAAATCGACCAAAAACACCGAGGCAAAGCGGTAGTAATGATCACCAGCCGTCACATCCAGACAGCCACCAGATTCGAATTGCCAGGTGAATTGGCGGTACATGCCGTGAACGAAGGTACCCGAGCCGTACGAAAGTACCTCGACAGCAAGAGCAATGAATAAACGCCTTACTTTGTTCACACGATTCAATTTCATCATCAATATGCGAGTGAAATTAATCGAAAAAGTAACATCGTTTTCACAACATCACTTTTCGTACTCGTTATAACGTCACAATGTTTTCGTTACATTCAAAAAAGAGCATATTTGTTTTTGCGTAGATCGTAATTTGTTTTCCGTTAAAGAAAATTCTAAATATTCCATTCGTTGATTAAATATTATTCGTTGTTACCAAACAATCAAATATTCAAGAAGAAAAATAGATTCAGAACAGTTGTTTTGTGAATTATCAAATGATTTAATGATTTAATAATTACTTTTTGGCAATATATTACTAATAGTAAAAAGCAAAAGAAAAAATAGTATAATTATTTAATTTAAATTTTATAAGTTGTAAAAAAAAATAAGAATTGATTATAATTTTAAATTCGATTGCAAGTAAATTATCTCAACTGATGCAGTTAAAACATTGCCTTATTATATTGCTATTTGCATCAATTATTTTAATATTTTAACTTTGACTGAAGTGGCTCATTATTTTATTTTAGTATATATACAATGTAATTTCTGAATAGGGCAGACTTGTTACACATAGAGAAATAATAAAGCACATAGTGCACATTTTAAAAAATAAAATCATTGTGTATTACAAAGTTTCATTAACTGGGGGCTCAACAGGGAAATCACTAAACGATAAATTTATTTAAAAGTACATAAATATACTGTTAAATTTTGAGTACAGGTGGGCGTTTTGCGATTACTTAATCACTTGCACAATCATTTTTCGGATGATTAAGATGGCACTTAATCACTTAATCGCTATTAATCATGATTAAGTGATTGTGCAATTGATTAATTAATCATCGATGATGATTAAGTTGTTGTCTTAATCACGATGTCGCCGTGATTAACTGTGACAACTTAATCATGATTAAGTAAATAGTTAATCATGATTAAGTAAATTCTTAAACATGATTAAGATGTGATTAACGAAATGATTGTGTAGAATTAATTAAT